ACGATGGGACAAAATATATAGTCCAAGGACTAAAAACCTTAAAAGATATAAGTTTGAGGGTTCAACTTGTTGAAAGTTAAGTAAGAGGGCTAAAAGGCTTAAAATTGATAAAGTTTGAGGACTAACCACTTAAACAAAGAAAACGCATCCTTCCTCTTTAAATAGCCTAGCTAATCAATCAAATTGTATTCCATCAAAAGAGAAAAATAATCAATAGGTGTTCAACATTCAGGGGAGCGACCTGGTAACACAGAAAGTAAACTGAAATAATGGGTTGTCCATGGAAGATGAGTTCTCTCATCTTAACTTTCTTTGCCTTTTCATTTCTCAATAGTCGGCTTCCAGTCGCTCGAGCTCAGGCTAATAGTACTGCGTCTCTAGTGGAATACTATTTTGTTGTAAGTACTCTCTTTGCTTCATCTCCATCCCAATAGCTTTCAGCTTCAAGGGCTTTCTATTGCCTCCAGAATATTCATTTTATTGACAATCGTGGGTATATTTCGTATTTTTATTTTTGGATGATCTGAAATTCAGGTGAAGAACACAACTTTTACAAAATTTTGCGAAAACAGGACCGTTTTGACAGTAAACGACATGTATCCTGGGCCAGAAATACGGGTTAAAAAAGGACAGAGCATTCTTGTTAATGTCCAGAATGATGCAGCTTACGGTGTCACCATTCACTGGTATGGTGCTTGTCCAAATCATGAAATAGTTTTTTAGTTACTTCCAATCATGAAAAAAAGAAAAAATTTCGTATGTTTAATTAAAACTATATTTTGTTGGTACTTGTATTAGGCACGGCGTGAAGCAACCAAGAAATCCATGGTCTGATGGCCCAGAAAATATAACCCAATGTTTGATTCAACCTGGAAAGAATTTCACCCAAGAAGTCATATTCTCTGATGAGATAGGGACTGTATGGTGGCATGCCCATAGTGATTGGACTCGCGCTACTGTTCACGGTGCCATTGTCGTCGAACCTCCAGATGATGAAATACCGGACTCTCCATTTAAATTCCCAAATCACACACTTGTGTTCTGTAAGTATGTCTTTTGAGTTTTAGGTCGGAAAAAATTACGGTATCTTTCGACATTAAAAATATTAAAAGTTTAAAATTGTAAAAAATTACCATATGTTGACATTAAAAATATGAAAAGAATTCACACTGGTTGAGCAAATAAGGTCCCACGTAGGTCGTATCCACAGTAGGTTTGGTAGGAAACAGTTGTCATCCATATCCAGTTAAATGAGACCATGAAGTCAAATAATCTACATTTTACTTCTGTAAACCTACCAAAAAAGTATAATATTTTAAACCGATCGACTTTATTTTATGTTGTCCTGGCAGCTACATGGTTTAATCAAGATTTGAAAGAAATAAGTGATATCATAGCGCTGAACGGTACTAATACAGCTGATGCAGCGGGGTATACCCTCAACGGCTTCCCTGGAGATCAAGTTACATGCGACAACGGTATGAAAATCAAGTTAATTAATAACAATTTTTTCCCTAACACTTCCTCACTTCTCCAACATACTTATTTTTTCACCCTGCAGTTTCGGAGCCAACATATAATATTACAGTTAAACGCGGTGAAACATATGTTCTCCACATTGTCAATGCTGCAATGCATGAAGGACAGTATTTTGGCATCAAGAACCATACACTAACGGTTGTTGCACGTGATGGGGCATATGTCAAGCCATTTGCCACAGACTATGTACTGTTGGCCCCAGGGCAAACCATGGATGTTACATTCGTGGCAGACCAGAACCAAAGTCAATATTACATGCGTTTTCGGTATTTTGATGATAGTGGTGTTACTACTAACACACAAAATACCACAGGATATCTCATATATTCGGACGCTACTGAGAACGTAACCAATACGGATTTTCCATACCTCCCCAATGCAACAGATAACACCACTGCTTTTAAATTCACCAAGCGACTCCGGAGCTTATACTCCAGATCAAATACAGAGCTCCCCCGAGGCGATGTTAAACGAATTGTTCTGGACGTGCAAGTAGATCATTTAAATTGCACTGGTTCATCTGATTGTCCATCTACAGGGAGACAAGCTGCAAGCTTAAACAGAATCAGTTTTGCATACCCAACGAATCACAGTATTCTGGAGGCATACTACTACAAGTACGTACTGAACAGATATTTGTTAATTTGATAATTTCCCTTGTATTGTTGTTTCCATATTTGCATTATTACAAAAACCAATGATGTACACTACATTTGACAGCATCTCAGGTGTTTACAACACAAGCTATCTGATTTATCCAGACGAGGAATTGGAAGCGGCAACCTATGCTTACCAAGGAACAAATGTGATTATGTTGGATTATGGAGATCCAGTAGAGCTTGTGTTCCAGGCAATAGATGTTACTCCTGCTGGAGGTCATCCACTACATTTACACGGTTTCAGCTTCTTCCAAGTCGGCATGAATAATGGAACATTTGATAATTCGACTGACCCTGATTCATATAACTTGGATGATCCACCAGAGATGAACACTGCCGTTGTTTTTGGGAGTGGATGGACAGCCGTTAGATTTTTTGCAAATAATCCTGGTAATTTATATCATATATGTAACGAATTTTTAATTGATAATTTCTATTTATCTCATAGATGAACTGAATTTTTTTCCCCAACTAAATTTCTTTAAGTAATAGTCTAGGATCACCTAAAATTTATAGTATTTGCACTTGCTAACCAGACCCATCTCTGTATTTTGTTTCTCCAAATAGATTATTAACACAAGTTTTTCTTATTCTTCCCCTTTGTCATCAGGTGTATGGTTTTTTCACTGTCATTTTGAATCGCATGTCAGTTGGGGTATGGCTACAGCCCTCATTGTAAAGGATGGCCCTAATTCAGACCAAAAATTGAAGCCGCCACCGGCGGGAATGCCTAGTTGTGGTGCATAGGCCCCATAAGTAATGCTGAATGTGTCGTGTATCCATGTTTTTTCCATTGTGTCTTCATTCCTGGTGTTTGTATTACTTCATGTGGATTTTCGTAGGTTATGAGTCTTGCTGTCAGTGAGATTTGTTGAGGATTGCCTGGTCCTCACTGTTAAGCTATGAATAATGCCCTCAAGTCTTAAAGCCTCAAATTTGCGTCTTGTTAACTACATGCAGATTTGGACTAGGGCTAAATGTTGACATATTTGATAAATTTTATGAATGTATGGCTTATATATTTACAACTAGAATTAATTATAGTTATAAAGTGTACTCGTAGAAAACATAACTTCATGTCTCTGTTTTCTGGTATGCATAATGAAGAAATAATATTTCTATTAGTGAAAAATGATCAAGCCTATGATCTATGGATGAGGTACTGTGGTTAGTGGAGATATATGTTTCTGTTTGCCCGAGATCAATACTTAACCCATGTGCTCAATTTTTGTGGATGAAGCTGTAGAAGCCAGAGCTTTGGACACCAAAGTTATTATATTCTTGGCACCAGCGGGGTCTCTAAGGATATAATTGGATAAGATTAAAATAATAAGATAAAATTACACTGGATAGTATTAAGGGAGAAATATATAT